TGTACAATAAATTTTGTTCGAAACGTCATCCAGTAAATAATACTGTTTCTGTAACAACAGAAGACAAGGGCCAGGCAACAGATCATTTTTATTACGAAAACCAACAGGTATTTATATGTATTTTACGTACATTAATAAGGCTCTGCCCGCAGAAAGAAGGCGGTCTTCTGATTGGTTGTTTGCAAACAAACGCAGTCTTCTGCTTTCTCGTTTTCGATATTTCTCGGAATTGCGAGCCACTTGTCTGCGAATCATATTTGTCCACGTCTAGGTCTGCTGTGATCGGTTGTTGAATCAGCCTAGATTAATTTCCACCAATCAGCGTAGATCAATGTCTACCAATTGGCTAGCAGCTTGCTCTCACCACATTTCTTCACTGTGATATATCTAATAAACAAACTAATATAGAATGACTTATCAGTAGCACCCGCCACATTTTCAGGTGAAGCCCAAACGTACGTTTCATCCCATTTTGGAACTCGTCAGCTAGATTTACCAGGCCCCTTCAATCCAGGGAGCAGTGGTGTATTCCCATTGTGACTCGAAATCAGCACCCATCACTTCAAACGCTTAAGCGTCAGTAACCAAGTAGTCAATGTCAAGTTTGCAAACTTGACTGATAGAATTCAGTTAAACACACTAACACATTAGACATTGGTTACTTTTTATTGCTCACCCCATGTATGCATTACAGTCCGACAGGAAGTCAGTGTTATTGTCTCTAATTGTAGCACTGGATGATACGAGTTTGAATATCAAAGAAGACATTAGTTCCTTTAAATGTTATAGCTACTCTATGCTGATGAGTGCGCACACCTACGAAACCTAGGTGTCTTGATATCTTCTGTGATTGTCTGCATCCACCTGACATCAAGTAAATCTAACTTACGCAGAACCACTTTATTAAAAGAATATGACTGATTAAAAGTAGTTTTGATTGACATAGTTTGATTGAAGTGTGAAATACTTGCCCCTTCTGTTTGTTAACAACTTCTTACCTTAATCATATACCATTCAGTATATCACGATGACACTGATGATAGACAGACTGACAGATATATATATATGAAAGTGTAGAACTCGGTCACTGTGGTAGAATGTGTAATTCCACATGTTGAACTTATTTAATATGTGAAAAAAGCTGACAGATAGATTCATTGTTCCTTTTTTTTGTGTCTGTCATTCTTTCTTTCTGTTCAATTCTAGAATTGCAATTATTGATTGGGATGTTCATCATGGTAATGGTACAGCGAAGATTTTCGAAGATGATCCAAAGTAAAGTCATCATTGTAGTATCATTATAAATTTCCCTTCTCTACTTTATTCAATTAATTTATTGATTTTTTTTCAAAAGAATGGTTACTGAACAAAGAATATTCACATTTTCGATAACACCTTATTCATCACGTTCTACGGCTATATACCCAACCATAATAGTGAATGAATTAGTGTTATTAACAACATTAATGTTGTTTAAATAATATCGAATCAGTAATATCAATATCAATGGATTACAGTCCCATAGCATCAACATAACAATACACGCTGAATATCAGAGAAATTAGGAAAAATAATAATACAAATTCATGAATTTATAATCTCCACTGAACGCCGGCCAGGGCAGTAGTAGTTTCTGGACTTGCTTCTTTTGCACACAAAGCACTGGTTGTTTCAGGAGAATCACGATAGCCTCTGCTGTTTGGAGAACTCGGTACCTGGATGCTTTTGGCAATTTATTTGGCACCCGATAGATAATAATAATAGATGATCGAGAAGGATTCTTCAATGCTGGCTTTGTGGCCGCTTTAGACCATGTGGTCTAATATCGAACTGTTGATGGTTTTTACTTCACCCTTACTTAGCTGTACTGGTAGACTTTCCCGAGCGCGAAAAATCAAGTCGCTAGATCAACGGCCAATATAACTCGCTGCACAAGCGCAGTTAGTTGAATTGGTAGATACAATTCGAAGTGGCTAGTCTAGGTACTTCATCTTTCGATTGGGGAATCACCATCGGTCAGGTAGAGAATAAGACGTGTAGTTTGGAAATATGCAATGAAGATTTATTTGGTTTATTGGCTTTAGCACTCAATCCTCAGCCCAGTAGGTTCCAAGTCCGAATCGTGCCTTAGTGATTACGTGATATGATCGCTCCACTGAGTCTGATATGAGAAAGATACCTTCTAGATAACCCAGATGATAGCATATACGCTAGACTTCACTTCAACAGCGCAAAAAGCCCTGTCGATTTAATTTCTTGAAGGGTGAGTATAGTCAAAATCGAAGCTGACAAGTCATTCGCTAGTGATTACTTGCTATTATCAATAAAAATAATGTGTACGTGTATCGGCTTCTGCATCTATCTCTCGCTGGGCTACGAATGTTCAGGAAGAAATGGAGTTAGGTGGATTAGCCATACTCTGAGAAAACAAACTGTCATCAAGTGAGTGACATCCATCACACGCCACTCCAGGCCATAGCTCGAGTGGAACTCGAATGGGAAGCGGCGAGTTAGTTGGTCGTCATTGAGAGGGTGACATAGAAGAGGAGGAGGTGATGCGAAGAGGAGATGAAAGCATGAAAACGTTGGCAGAGAACCGTACGCAATGGAGACGTGCGGCTGAAGCCCTATGTTCCTCTAGGAATTAAAGGAAACAATAATAAATATAATAATAATGTGTGTCAGCTTCTGTATCTATCTCTCACTGGGCTACGAATGTTCACTATATTAGAACAAAATAACATTCCAATGCTTCATATTCTTTTCTTAATTGTTCTGTCGTAAACTGAATCAAATCATTATAAACTCATCGTTTTTATGTGTAAAATATTCTTTTATAGTTCTTATCCTTCCTTTCTCTATCCATCTTTCTTTCTTTTCTTTCGTTTTTTCTTCTTTAGCATTTTATACATTTCAGTGCATCGTTTTGATAATGGTCGATTTTTCCCAAATACCGACTTTAGTTCAGCTCAATTTTGTGGTCTAGATGAAGGTTTAGGTCGTACAGTACATGTGGCATGGAATGGGGTTTGTTTGTGTGAACTGTTTTTTTCAACTGTAACTTATTTTATTATTGTTGTTCTTATTATTATGAATGAAGTAGTCATAACACCAAACGATATAGTCATACAGTTATTATTTATATTAATTTGAATTTTCCCGTTAATTGTGATTGGATCGAAGTGTTTAGCTTCAGGTTGCCATGTCGACTCCTTGTGCAGATGTTTCAACGATGTCTGATTATTTAACTTGAACCACCGACCAATTTACTTTGAGTTAAATGATTAGACATCGTTGAAGCATCTGCTCAAGGAGTCGACATGGCAACTTGAGGCCGAACACTTTAGTCCAATCACAATTAGCGGGAAAGTCCCAATTGAAATAAATAATAAATCATATTCGTTGTACAAGAAGTGCCTAGTTCTCGTGGCCCAAACGGTCTAGTGGATAACGCTTTGGCGTTTGAAACGATCGGTATCGGGTTTAGTGGGAATACCACTCTCACTCTCTGGGGGATGCAAGTGCATCCGCTAGCTGATGAGCCCTAAATGGGACGAAATGCGCGTTATCCTGGATTCCACCACTGCTAGTCACCATCCACCAAATAGTCATACAATGTTTACAGGTGTAGTCCAAATTACTTACACAAATCTACACTGATATGATATCATCAACGCTATTATTATCCAATTGCTGCGCAACTACAAACAACTCGGAACAGGAAAAGAAGGAAGAATTCTACGGACAGTTGCAAATAATAATAATGGACAATATTCCATATGGCGATATCAAAATCCTATTGGCTAATATGAATTCTAAAATGGGAACAGCCAACACAGGAAGAGAACTAACTCATCATGGATTGGGAGGCTCTTAGTGAAATAAATGAGGTGAGAGGGACCATAGACCACATTATACAAGGTAACCAGGTGATTATCCAAGAAGAGATCAACACCAACGAAACCAATGAAAGGATAGTGTAACGTAATTATCAACAAGGAGAAACTTACAACTTCTGGACGGACTACCACCACCTGTCACTCGTCTAGAAATACCACCAACATACTGTCAGTGAATACCAATCCTCCGATAAAAAAAGAAATCTTGAATACCATAAAACTAGTGAAAGGTAGGAAGGTAACAGAACCATGACAAAATTCCTCCGGAAGGCCTGAAAAAGGATCCAGTTTGTATCAATTCGGAATTTACATATCCTGTAGTAACGTCGTATAGCATTTTGAAATATGAACAATAGTTTCTTATGCATCGTATGACACATGTTTTGTGTGACCAAAAGTGTTACATGTCACTTATATGTCAGTATGTGAAGTATTAGGATTACTTC